TGAGTTTGGGTGTAATTTGTGGTTGTCTATGTGTGTGTCCATGGCACTCGCAACACAGGGTTTCCCTAGTGCGGGGCTAAGTTGAGTGTGTGCGTTAAAAAAAAACACACCTATTGCACACTTGCTAGTTCAATAGCACCAGCAAGTAAATTGGTTAATAAGTTATACATTGCGCAAGAATTACATTACTTTTATTGTAATGATGACGATCTCTACCCTGGAGTCTAAAAAGCTCAATGCGATCCTCTGGAAGAATTCACGTTCACCCACGTAAAATAAAATCAAATAAAATCGAAACAAGAACCCATTACATTGATCTTCTTTGCTTAAAATATTTTCAGGCACTTTTGGTGTGATCCAATCGACAATATAAATAATTTCCTCAAAAGACTTACCCAACATTGTCCGGAGAGCCGTCATTTCGAAACACACTTTTTGACTGACCGTTATCAATAACAGTGTCATCTATGTATCAAAATTTATCAAAGCTACATCTGCTACACTCTTGAAATTTTCGACAGTTTATCATCGATAAGATTTTTTCCCTAAAGTGCCAACCTTGGCAGGATAACAGGCCAATCGGAGCGGAGAAATTTGAGCAACTGTGTCCTCGTAATTAGTTGGAATTGACGGAAACTTTAATTTATTTAGCGTTGTTTGGTATATTTTGAGCGAAGATCAGAGTGAGTGAGTGCGTGAATATTTATAAGCACTATGATATCATCGGCTGCGCGGTGAGTTCAGTCCATAGATAAAGAAAAAAAGGGGAGATATGGTATGGGGGCGTGGTTCGCGTCGCCTCGATATGGTCAAAATGACCATATCGAGGTGACACGCCTACAAACATCGCCACAGTGACACGGCGATCGTTGTACATACAAGATCTCGTAAAACGTGAAAATGCCAAGATGTAGCGATACACCTTGTAAAAATTGGAGTGAAAACAAAAATTTTAAAACCAGTGAGATAACATTCCACCGGTTGTTTGCATTTTTAGTAACTATTTCTATTATTATTCAATGTTTTCTTTTTGTCTCCATAGAAATTTCTAGACTCAAATATACTGATGTTCATTTGCGAAGACTGATGTTTATCGACAATAAATTTTTACTGAAATGTTTCAATTTCTTACTATAATTTTTGTAATTAAAGTCCCTAAAATAGCGAAGCGAAAAGCATTCACGTTAAATTGATTTCTTTTATTTTATTATTATTATTACTAAACATTTTAATTTGAGTAACTTGAACACAACTCATATTTCGGACAACCGTTTCAATTTCATGTCAATTTGGATGTTGCTGTTGCTTGAAGAAAAATGTATGTGTTTTAGATATATAAGATATTTTCCATTTTCCATTATACTCGTAGATTAAACGTAGAGTATTTTTATTTTTTTCCAGTGAGTTTAAAATAAAAGTAGGTTGGATTAGAGCTGCAGGAAAATCGAAAGATTGGTTTTCTTATTACTATTTCTGACTTTGTTTCAATTTCCATAGCAAATGTATTTAAAAAATAAATAAATAAAATCGGCTTTATTTTACATGTGCAAGCAAAATAAATTAGAAACAATTACATAAATCCTTCATAAAAAAACAACATAACTTAATTTATTAAATTCATTGATGGTTCGAGTTTACTCTTGACAGTGACAGCTTCAGCAACCCGTGGTTACGTATAATGGAAAATTGACACTGGCGACGATCGCCATATTTTTTATGTTATTCTTATAAAACTGACACTGGTCCAAGCCTAGTGGCCGCCATTAAGAAAATAATAATAATTTATATTAATTTAATAATACACCAGTACCAGTGTAGATTTAGTTAGATTAGAAAATGGAATATTTTTTTTAATATTAAAAACAGCCACATGGTTTCCAACTATCGATTAAGTAGGACCACATCCCTCGTTGAGTAGCGTCAGTTTAAGGTTAATAAGGTTAACAATTCACGGAGCGGTTTCCATCCGCGCCCGCCGGTGCTGCTAGACCGCGGTTTTATTTCAATACTTACGACCCTGCAAGTTTGTGCGGGCACGTAGCTGCCGCGGTTGCGGGCACGAAACCGTTGCGATTGCAGAACGGACTGCGAAGTTAGTGGGAGTTAATTGCAAGTCGCGCGGTTAATAGAGAACCTACCTTGCGTGCGCCTGCACCACATTGCGCTTGAACTGACATCGCGTCCTGTGCGGTTCTACTAGTACCCCGCGGCGGCAACCGCGAGTAACTGTCACCACTACAGGCGTCAAACGCGCTGTGAAATGTGCTACTAATTTTACATACTTAACTGTTACATTCTACAGATGCCGCGGTACCGCGGCAGACGCAGGTGAAAACCGCTCCGTGAGTTCTTAGTGTAACGAAAAATCAGTTTCAGCGCCATCTAACGTGTAATAGTTAGCTGTTATATACTAGTAGTATTGTTACTAAAACGCCACCTGTTGATGAATGGCTGAACCAGGATGAAAAAATACTGAAATATTGTAATATAACTCTTATTGAAGAGCTTGTAAGTTTAATTTTGTTAAATGTTAAAATTGTTTTACGTCGTTTTCACGTTTTAAGCCCTACCCAATCAAAATCTTTAAGTTATGGTAGCAGATAATAGAGCGTAAAGTTTGAATTGCACACAAGCTAAAAAGTGGCGAAATCGGCACCCGATCTTATATCATTACATATCTTCTCTTTTTTTCTATATCTATGGTTCAGTCCGACGCAGTATACGCACGAGGCATTGGTTCGAATAGTAGGTTTGACTTTTTGGGATAGGTATTTTGATTTTCAATTGTTCTATAGTCCTTTTGTTTAGGTACTTAACAAATGTAAACATTACTGTTCATATGCCAGAGTCACTGCGAAATATGAAATAACCATTCTGCGCCAGGTTGAAACGCGAAATGTTCCATCGATGGTATACGTAAACCAAAAGCTGATATACGTACGTGGGGCGCACTATAAGTTTCCGGAATGAATAAGAAAAAAATACTATAAATGGTCAGAAATGAATTTATTGTTTCTCAAAATATTCTCCGTTAGCGTTATTAATGCACTTTTTCATACGAATGAACCAATTTTGAAAACATTCATGCCACTCCTCCGTGACAATTTCTGAAACATACTTTTCATACTCTTCGACAGCCTCTTCAGGTGATGAAAATCGTGGACCGCGTAACTGGTTTTTAATTTTTGGAAATAAATAAAAAGTCACAAGGTGCCAGGTCGGGACTGTACGCGGGATGGCTCATATGGTCAACGTTGTTCACCTTCAAAAATTCACTTGTCTGTCTGGCCGTGTGAGAACTGGCATTATCGTGGTGCAAGATGATACGGCGTTTATGGTTATTTTTACGGAGTTTGTCAATAACTTCCGGTAAAAAAATGGTCGTGTACCAATCACTATTCACGGTATTACAATTTTCCAAAGCAACAGTAGCCACATGTCCAGTTAGAGGCACTTTGCACGCGTGCTACTTTGGTTGGTTTCGGCTCACCTTGAAAGACCCATACGCTTGATTGCTGCTTTGTTTTGAGATCGTAACTATAAATCCATGTTTCGTCACCTGTTACTATGTCCCACACCAAATTCGACGTCCCTTCGTTGAATCTGGTACGCATGGCATTGCACCAAGTGACGCGATCCGTTTTTTGAGCCTCAGTCAAATTGTGTGGGATCCACTGAGAGCACAGCTTTTTCATACCCAAATGTTTGTGTAGTATTGATTGCATTTGACTCATGCCTATGCCTAAAGATGCCTGAATCTCATGGTATGTCACATGCATGTCTGTTTTGATCATACAGCGCACAGCATCGATGTTTTTGTTGGTCGCAGCAGTGGACGGGCGACTATCACGAAATACGTTTCTGAGATTCACACGACCGCGTTTGAGTTCTGCAAACCAGCTACAAATTGTCGTCTAGGTTACATGGTGCTTCTTCGCCAAAAGCAGTTTGAAGCCGAGCGAAGCTCCGCTGAGCTGTTAAATTACACTTAAAGTCGTAGAAAATCATACTCCGAAAATTTTCACGAGTTAAATCCATGGTGATGTTGTCTACATCACCATGGATTTAACTCGTTTAACCAATTTCAAAAATGACGCCACAATGTAAAAACAAGTGACAGTCAGACGAAACAAACTGTATTCTAAAGTCAAAGAGTTCCATTTTCAAAAGTGGTAATTACTTTTTGAATATTGTTTAAGTAAGTGGCCAGTTCCGGAAATTTATAGTGCGTCCTATGTACACAGATAAATACAGTAAAAGTGGTTAGTTAGCATCTGACGCGTGCCAACATTAGGTCACGAAAGACCTAATTGAGCTTGGTCCGCCATTTTCGGTTTATATTGTAAGGTTGAGTCATTTCATCAATTCTCTAAAATTGAAGAAAAATGCCTTATTGTGCTGTTTTGTTATTACTCGTCGTATTATTTCAAATTATCGGTAGGTATGTCTTATTTTAATACATTTTCAATTTTCTGATTATGTACTCGTTTAGTTGTTAATCGGTCGTCATAGTCCGTCTTCTGGCTGCAAGAGTACAGTATGTCGTATAAAATTTTAATACAAAATCAAACGTAGTAACTTGCAATAAAAGTATTTGAACTTTCAACGATATGGCGATTGGGTAATGTTTAAATTTGTTATACATATTTTTAACAAAAATAGGTAAAGAGGTCATTTCCACCCACCACGGCTGTGAAAGAACAAAATGGAAGTTGTGCGTTTCGATAACGTCCTTTGTTGCACAGACTTAGGGCTCAAGTCAAATTTCGCGTGTCAAGACTGGTGCCACTGCAGTGCTCCTACAAGCCTCTAACAATCGCGAAAGGCTAAGTATTCGATATATTTATTTGTTCTGACAAAGTTCTGCGTTATAGTACCTTGTAGTGTGAAACTATGGACCCCTATCGTGTTCATCTCTCTCATTATACGTTTTCTAGAAAACGCCCTTACTTTTTCTGATTCCTGAACGAGTTCCAACTAATATTTACTGTAATATTAGTGTCTGTAATTACTTCAATTTGCTATTACAAGCTATTTCTCGCACTTTGAGAGCTTACTCACTTTTCATGTCTGATCTCCAGACATTGGCATATTCTATCGTATCTCCGAATTTTGCTATTCGTTTTTCCAATGATAATTACGTACCATATCACAAATTTCACTTTATAAACATCAACTTCAACACAATTTATTTCGTATTTAAAATTTTGATATCGCACTGCTATTACAATAGTGTTGTAACTCAAAATGTGTGAAATTTAATATTATATCATTACTGAACGTAAAATTTCATTCTCTATACGTCAAAAAAACCGTCGTTAGAATATTGTAAGAAACAATCAAAAGATATCTACTTAACTCAAAATGAGACACACTTTATGTGAGCTATTTCAGTTTTTCCTTTATTTAATCTTTATT